CGACGAGGCAAATGGTTAGATGATGCAGAGCCTCTGAAACTTGGAGATATAGTGGTGATCGCTGATTTAAATCTACCAAGAAATACGTGGCCACTGGGGAGAATCGAACAGCTCTCTCCTGGAAAAGATGGGATTGTCAGAGTGGTAGAGGTCAAGACATCCAAAGGCTCGTATCGTCGACCGACTTCGAAGATCTGCAAGATTAAGATGGAAGGTGAAAATTCTTAGATTTTCACGGTAGGGAGAATGTTGAAGTTATTTTGATTAATATAGCTCTTTAACCACACTGTGTATAATATGTTATTTTGTCAAGTAGTTTTTGGGAAAAAGAAGAAGTGTGGTTGTTATGAAAATAGGAGTTGTTAAAAATAAAGTGATTTTTTTAAAAAGTACTTGGGTCTCTCTGCTATCGAAGTAATTTAAAATATTACAGATTAGATTTCCACAGATCAACGCCCAGAAATAAGTTGTACGTGATACAGGATTGTCAAAAACTTCAGTCTGGAGAATCCTTGAGGAACAATTACTCCATCCATTTAGCATAAGGAAAGTGCAAGAGCTTCTTCCAGGTGATTTTCAACTGAGAATAGATTATTGTCGTTGGTTTCTTCTAAACGAAATATTATGTTCACCGATGAGGCGACGTTCACGAGGAACGGAATCATGAACTTGCATAAAGCTCATCAGTGGGCAGATGAGAATCCAAGAGCCATCATGCCAACTCACTACCGGAGTTCCATGTGAATTTTTGGGCTGGAATTTCAGATGACAATCTAATTGGGCCATTTTTTTACCGAACCGCTTGACAGGAATTGAATATTTGAACTTTTTGCGAAATAATTCACCAGGACTCTCAGAAGACGTTTATTTGGGGACTAGAAACGAAATGTTGTTCCAACAGGATGACGCACCACCACACTTCAGTCGCGAGGTGAGAACTTGGTTATGCGATAGATTCGCCGACCGGTGGATTGGAAGAGGTGGGAATGCACCAGTGCATTGGCCTCCGGGTTCTCCAGATTTGACGCCATTAGACTTTTGTTTCTGAGGATTCATAAAAAATGAAGTTTATTCAATAGCTATCAATACAGTGGAAGAGCTAAGAGAAAGAATTTTTACAGCAGCTGATAAGTTTCGAAATATTCCAGGAATATTTCAGAAAATACGATTCCACTGCGTGAAAAGAGCTCGTTTATGTTTGGAGAATGATGGGAGACATTTCGAGCATTTGCTCGATTGATACCACCATTATTCTCGTTTTCTTGACTGTTGCAATAGTTATCGATTATTTATTCATTATTCAATAAAAACGTGTTTTCTGTTTGATAATTGATGATTATTGTTTATTAACTTTCCGAATATTCTTCCTACTTGTTTGATATTTATGGAGGAGCAACTATTTTGGATACCTTCTGTATTGAATTAGTGTAGTGATTTTGATTCGAAGATGGATGAATAGAAAATTATTATTATTACTATTATTATTTATTATTATTATTATAATTATTCTTTGTCTCTGAGATCCCGTTTATTTTTCAATTATTGATTTGATGAACTCATCTGATGAAGAGTGTTAAAATGAATATGATATCTGTGCCCCCGAACTCTCAACAGAACGAAAAAAAACTACAAACGACTTTGATTGTTAGCAGGAGGTGCAAACTAAAATAGACCGATCTGAGCATTTTTTCGTATCTACGCGATTATCACCCAAAATCTCTGTCAAGTTGAAAATGGGCCATCCTGTATGATGAAAAGGTTATTAAATAATTAACATGAATACGTGACCAAAATATCAACATGAAGGAGGAAGAAACCTGCAGAACACGATAACTCTGATATCTTGGACTATGTATCATCCATAGGACTCCGAAAGAATATTTTCATATATCTCGTAAACCAAGCAAAATTTAAAAAGAAATGTAGTGAGATAGATAATTGATTTTGTTATCCAAGTAGATATTGAAATATTGTAAGTGGCGCACTCAAAAAAAGTTCTATGGATTTTCTCCAATCAGAATGCAAAATTTTTATCTTCCTGTTTATCGATTGAACTGATGAGACCTGTTATCTATGCACACTTCTTATAAATGACTGCCTTCGAAATTTCAGAGCATTACCTCTCAAGGATTTTGAAATATTCAATAAAATCTGAAAAAAAAATTGTATTCATCGCCCTCTCACGGCCCAACGGTAAGTTGTTCCCAATCTACCTATTTTGAACTCTAGTTCACCCAGTTGAATTTAATGTACCTTGTTCTGGGACACCCTGTATTACAAATCTGTATCTTTTGGGAAATAAAAATCTATCTATCTATCAATCTATCTATCTAAACAAGACATAATGATATTTTCCACTTGCTAAGATGTAACTTATCGAACTCAATGAAAATATTATTGTATAAAGGTTTGAATCAATATAATAAGTTACCAGAAGAAGTGGAAAATGTCAAAAATCTCCGTCAGTTTAAATCAAAACTAACTGCCTTTATCAAATCAACTGTCATAAGATAGAATAGATATGTAGATTGATATTATTATTGTATTAGTACCTGAATCATTGTCTCTGCAATTTTAATATTGTGAATATTAGTATGTATACCTATATTGAAATAAATGCATTCATTCATTCATTCATTCATATAGAGAAGTGGTCTGGGGAAACAGAACTAGTCGAGCCTCCACAAAGGCCAATCTTACTAAACTTCAGAGTCTAGTATGTATATGCAATACCGGTGCAGTGAGAACGTGTCCCAGTGCCGCAATGAAGGTGATTCTAGACCTCACTCCTCTTCATTTTGTTGTGGAGAATGCAGCGAAGAGAACGACATACAGAATGATTAGAGAAGTAGTGATCAAAGGCAGGTCAACTTGTCCACTCAACCAGCAAATCCAGGAATTTCCTCAGGATGAGATAAAGAAAAAGTACAGCTTTGTGAAACAATTCACCACGAGGATGAGCTGCAAAAAGTATGGAACAGTGAATTTATGGGTATTGAGCTCAAAGAAGGAGCCATACAGTGGTACACAGATGGCTCCAAAGCCGAATATGGAACTGGAATAGGAGTACGGGCCTCGTACCAAGTACTTCGAAAGCCTTGGCAAATTCATTAGCATATTTCAGGAGGTAGTACACGCTATAGGGACATGTATACAGTTTAATCTAGAAAGAAGCTCTGGAAGACGAGATATCATCATCATGTCCGATAGTCAAGCAGACATAAAAGCGCTGAGCTCGATGGTTATCAGCTCTAAGATGGTTTGGGAATCCAGAGAAAAAATAAACGAGCTAGCCAACAGAAATACAGTCACCCTTTCAAGGGTTCCGGGACATTCTGGAGTAAAAGGGCAGACAAACTCGCTAGGAAAGAAACTCAAACACCCTTCTTGGGGCCAGAACCTTTCAGCGGGAGCAGCAGCAGTACTGTATCAGAAAAAGAAACGAAGAAGTTGAACAGAGGTCAGATATCTGATGAAAATATTCAAGGTTTCAGACAGGCTAAAATACTACTGGGTACATATAAACGCAAAAGATTGAACGCATATGTCAGCCTAAGTAAAAATAAACTTCGTATAATAACGGTAGTTGTAACAGGGCACTAGCCGTTGAAAGGCCATCATAGGAATCGGCATGGGCATCGGCTTAGAAGAGGGAGATGAATGCAGATTCTGTGGCGAAGAGAAGGAAACCTCTATGCACATACGGAACGGGTCACTCAATAGAAACCAAGGGCAAGAAACCTAGGAGCACACATTATAGAGGAGAATAAGCTACCCTACCTGGAACCATCCCATATCCTGAAGTTTCTGATATAGGACGAGAGAAATTGTTATAGCAATAGAGAACAATCTCATCGTGTATAGCAAGAGAAGAGGGCACAAAGATCTTTCAAGTCGCAGTGTATTAACCCCTTATGCAAACAATACAATGACCCTCGGAATGTGCAACTTTTTTCCCATTTAACCGAATTCGTTTCTCCTCCCGTTGCCGAGATCCCCCTATATATGGATATCTACGAAGTTATGAGTAATAATCTCGCCCTAAGAACTACGTCTAACAGAGAATTTCGCGTAGAACCCAGTGGAGCACTGAATGTTTTTTCTTTGGGGTATGGTTTTTGAGATACGACACAACTTTTATATTTTTCAAAGGAACACTCTGTATTTCATTAATTCGTCAAATTATCATAAAAATCCGATTCTTCGACTAGCTAGTACGATTATGCCCTCTAACAGCCGTCCTAGAAACTTGAAAATAATTTCCTGAGATTTTTCCTGGCCAATTCCATCGATAATGTTCTTTTCCGAAACCTGTAGGGTGAATGGTTTCAGAAATACAGCCGGCGTCCTTACTAAGTTGTACACCCGGTACATGCAATTACGAAGGAAACGCATATTGTCCCATCAAAATCGAACCTCCTTTATTAAATTCCGAGGTGAAATGCTAACTTTCCTGGACTATGGAGTGAAAGAATTCCATGTTTTCTTTAATACCCTTTTCATAGTGAATCAGTAACAACAAATAATAAGCAAAAACATATGAAGATGTAGAAAGTATTGAATACACGTTACTGCTTATGTGAGTATTGCAGAACTTATAGAAACAAAATTTGAAATCTTGAAATTTTAACGCTCTGTAGATTGGTAACGAAGCGTTTGTGGACAAGGTTTATGAGAAAGTAGTCTTATTCTGACCAAAAAAATAAGCCTCTGAAATCTTGATACTAAATTTTGGAACACCCTATGTTATTCATTTTGTTGCCAACTTGAGGAATCAAGTGTCGCTACTCATGACAATAATGAATATTCGGCTTCTACTAGTAGATAATAAGAATGATTGACAACAATACCCTCGCAAATTTGATTGTCACTTAAAAATGCCATTAGTTTCACAGCTTCGGGCGTCTTTCAATGATGGCAACTATTCACAAAATAGTAGAGGAAAAACTAATTCATTATGTTTGATTCATTTCTTCAGTTTCAAGGGTTTCAATTCTTACCGGTATTGTAGAGATATTTGTCGAGGACGGCAGTAAATGTGATAGAATAGTCTTCAGCTTTTTGTCTGACTCTTTCTTACCATCAACTGAATCTTCAATTTGACATATAGCTGTACCATCAGATTGTGATCTATGATGACTCCTGGGTGACGAAGGGGTAAAAGAATCACCTGAAATTGGTATTGAATCAGTCCGTATTTCATGATATAGGAGAATAGTAGAGAAGTATTTCTCTTTCAAAGTATTTAGTTATACAAATAAGAGCATATGAATGTAACTCAGTCGTATTCGAGTGATTGTAGCTTACTGTCACTATTATCAAGGCTTTGCATTTTCTTGATAGTTGATATATTGTGATCCTTTTCATCTGGAACAAAAGTTGAATTTTCTTGGCATTCAACCTCAATTTCTTCTGTATTCGGACTGTCTGAATCAACAGGGGCTAGTCTCTCCTTTTTTTTATCATTTTCTTTTTTACGAGTGACTTCGCTCAATTTCATATTCCAATATTCTGTTGTTTCGATGATTGATCTTTTTATTCGTACAAGATTATCAGATATTTTCCAATATGATGAATGTAAGCCTGGAACTAGTCAATGAAGCAGAATTAAAAAAAGTTGAACATGTTACATTATTCATTAGCATTTGCGGCCAAACCAGAGAATATATCTTCAATGAAAAGTATAGCCTGTCGACCAACCGGCAGAATAACCAGTAGACTAGACGATCGAAAAATCAGAACACACCAAATTCTTTTTGGGTAATAGTAATATTCGAAAGTGCAGTGGATCAGTGAGCTATGCATTGGCTTGACCTTGATGCAAGAAATGTCGCAACAATATTAGTCAGCATCGACTTCACTGAGTATTAAATAGTTGGGGGTAAAATTGGACAGGCGTTTAAGCTTTCACACGAAATACATAATCGAAAAGACTTCACCAATGAAGAATCTTTATCCACTGTTAGTCAGTAATACTGCATGGACAGTTAAATATTAATTTACAAATGAATTATACGCCCTATCGTGACTTACGCCTATCCAGTATTTTGCAGAATCTGCTTACCTAAATGGTTAGGTTACAGGTGCTGCAAAATAAAGGTCTTCGTATTATTACCAATGATAATAGATTTTCTCGTTCAGAAGATCTTTAGGAACATTGTAATATTAGGATTAGGATTAGCGAACGCATTATGGAAACTTTCAACGAATTTTTTAGTACCATCCAACTAGTAGCAAGCCAAAAAACAATAAACAATCATTCATTAGAGTGAAATCACGAAATGAATATCGATATATAGAGTAGCACAAATGTTGACGGCTTGAAAGGCTGCTCGATCCTTATCAACCTTAGGCAACTGGACAGACCTCAGAAATTTCCCATTGAAAGGGCCCAGCCCTATTAAACGGGACTCCCTGACTTGGACAAAATTCGTAAACATTCACTCTTTTGGCTCACACCAGCGCGCTCTGGATTTCTTCAGAGTTTCATACTATTTATATTTTATAGATTGTTTTTCGATTATGCCTACTTATAAATTATAACTTTCTGTCTAATTTTGATGTGTGATGATATTATTAACTTAAGCATCGGCTTGTCAACTCTAATATCGCAAGTTCGAGTCTTGCACTAACAATTCTTTTGTTGTTGGACTGCGTTAGTACTTTAATGGTCATTCGTCAAGTCAAGCGCTTAAGCTACCGAACGGCCGACAGGCAGAACAATTCCATTCATTATTGAAAATAATAGAGATACTGAATACTTTCGACAGATTAATCGAGAAGGTGAATCTATAATTTTTCTAATTTTTTTTAGTGACATTTCTAAAAATACTAGAGAAATGAAGAGTTACTCGAGATTATCATATTATAGTGAAAAATGAGCAAGAGAATCAGTGTAAAATTCAAAACTTTGGCCCTGTGAACATGATATTTTTTCAATATGCTCGAGGATGTGTACGTGAGTAGGTGAAATAACAATATAGCATCACATACCTTTTTCTTCAAATTCTTTATTTTCGATAGACGGTGAGGTTAGTTTTAACTGTAACTCCTCCACTTTTTGTTTGAAAAAACCCTGTTCTTTTGACATAATCTGTTTTAAGTTTACAACAGTATCTGACTCATCACCAGGCAAGGTGATCAATTTGTCTAATATGGATGAAAATACCTCATGTCCTTTTTGGGACATAATTCTTATGTCATCAATCAGTTGCGATTGAAGGTCATTAATATCATATTTGATGTCTATCAGAGATGGTGGCAAAGATATTTCCCAAATACTAATGGGAGAATATCTGAAAAACAATGAAAGTTGGCGGATAAAGCATAATTTTATCAATTGAAGTATGAATGGAATAATATTCAATAGGCATTTGAAAAGCACAATAATACACTATAGCTGATAGCTATGTCGTTGGGTTTGAGTAGCTTGAATATCTGAACTTACTTGAATGTCGCCACAAAATTCTTATATCCAAAATACTGATAATGATCATGATGCAAACTATGACTGCAAGCTGACATGCCCCTCCTCGTAAACAATTCTCCATGAAACTTCAATTCAAGATACTTTGCAAAAGAATACGACCAACTGTCAGCCGACATGGGAACAACTGCCGATACCATCTGACACTTAGTACACCACGTCCATGTAACAATATGCTGCTCAGAAAACTCATTCTCGAAGTAATTGAGGCAGATGGTAACGCATCCAGAATTGTGTACAAATCTACGAATGTGTTTCACCATTGGGGTATCGCACGATTTGGAGGGACAGTTGTAAGTGGATCTGAAGCAATACCGTTCCAAAAAACAGCCCAACGGAATGTCATTTCTTCCATAAAAGTCCATGTAAACAATCCTTGAGAAAAAAAAAGAACTCAATTATTATTGAAAAAAGATTAAATGAAAATTGAATTAACGTGAGATAAGCGTTACCTTGAAGCAAAGTTTCTTTTATTTTATGTTGTTGTGTTATCAATTTTGTATGATCATTGATGAATTATTATGAGTTTTTTTTTGTATTACCCAATTTATATTTTTGTCAAATATACTTACCTAAGTTTTCATTCAATTCTTCACAATTATTAAAACCTATCAATTGATTAATTGAGAATTGAATGTTCAAAAAACATTTTTTACTTCATCATGAAACAACAAAAACTGAAATTCTTATTGAAAAGTCATAGATACCCTACCGGGGGTTTATTTGAAAACTTCCCAGCCGCAATATCTCGTTGAGTAGACGGTTCTCGGAAAATCGCTGAGACAGGTAAACAATAACTATGAGGGGGACATGTTTTCACTTAAAAATCGCCTTGCTCGTTTCATCCCCTATGCCCCCAATGCCACCCCATCGAATATTTCAAATGGCATTGTAGGTTATGTGGCGCCTCTTATGAAACGATTGAAAATATCGTCCCTGAAAATTTGTTCAGAAAATGGCCGAGACACGTACACAGTGACTGTTATTTAGCTTGTCCCATCAACCTTGCGCCCAATGCCCACCCCCAAGTTTGTTGGGGTCATGGGTCATTGAAAAAGTATGATACCCTCGTGTCTTAACTGTTGCTTTTTTGTTCAAATCAAGCGACTAGTTTTGGAGAGGAGGAAATAAGAAAAAAACATTCAATATGGATGTTTCAATGAAAAACTAGATTATTGTACACATGTTGGAGTCGTGAGAAATGCCGACAAGAAATTGATGTTTTTTCTCATTTTCTCCATCTCTCCAAAACTAGTCGCGTGATTTCAACAAAAAAAAAACAGTTTAGATGAGCGTATCCTACGTTTCCAATTACCCACGAACCCCAACCCCAACAAACTTGGGGATGGGCATTGGATGCAAGGTTGATGGAACCAGCTGAATAATTTGTACGTCAAATTATTCAGCAAACAGTCACTGTTCATGTGTCTCGGAGATTTTCTGAACGTTTTCTTATGGACGATATTTTCAAAGGTTTCCGTCGATGTTTCGCAATCTCAAAGTCAAAGGAGATGGAACGAGCATTGTGATTTTTACGTGAGAAAATGTCCCCCTCACAATAATTATTTACCTGTCTTGCGAAATTTTGAGCCCAAGGTTTTGCTGGGGCCTTGGGGCCTAACTAAATCGAAAATAGGACCTGGATTAACTTACCATGGATTCACACAGAAGGCAGGAGAATTGTTAGACTCAGAACTATAACTGCAAAACAATACTGCTAATCTTTGATGATTATTTGGATCAAATACATCTTTGCTAGAATTGTCAGATTCTGTTCTCTCCGAATTCTTTGGAACAATCTTCACACACATATTTTCCTTTTTCTCATATCTACCACCGCAGGCCCGGAAGTTTGCAAGCATATTTTGAATGTTCACGTCGTCTGCACTTGCGGTTATTTTTGAAAGTAAGAATGGATGATAAGGTTTAACCTAAAAAATATCATCTAGAAAATTGTCCAATTAATGAATTACCCGAAGGATCGTGTAGAGTGCGTGAGCAAGGACCTAAGCGATTCCTTCAGAAACTTGTTTGAGGTGTTTAGAGTGAATATATATAAATATTTAAATTCAAATATACAGGGTGTCCCTAGACCAGTGGGACAGTTAAATATCTTCTGCACCAATAGGAATTTTCAAAATATTATAATTCCACATCATATCGCATCATGAGTGCTATCTTCAGGAATGACTATATTTTATACGAGGGGCGCAAGGAAGGCTCACAAAATCGAACATCAATTTTTTCAAATGGAACACCCTGTATTTCATTGCATTTTCATGGAAAATCGAGATTTTTCATTTTTGGGAATTTTTTGTGTCAAAACTATTCATTATTGGTCAAAATGGCTCACATGTCCATGTCTCAACTTTTGATTTACTATTCACTCGTATTTAAATTAAACAAATACAGGGTGGTGTAGAATTCTCAGTTTCAGTCGGAATTCCACACCACCCTGTATTTGTTTCAATTAAATACGAGTGAATAGTGAATCAAAAGTTAAGATATGGACATGTAAGCCGTTTTGACCAATAATGAATAGTTTTGACACAAAAAATTCCCAAAAATGAAAAATCTCGATTTTCCACACCCTATATCTCGGAAATTATTCCCGCTAGAGCCCAAGTGTGCTAGGTCGTTGAATTCAGCTCTTCAAGGAGATTATGAAAATGCAATAAAATACAGGGTGTTCTATTTGAAAAAATTGATGTTCGATTTTGTGAGCCTTTCTTGTGCCCCTCGTAAAAAATATAGTCATTCCTGAAGTTAGCACTCATAATGCGATATGATGTGGAATTATAATATTTCGAAAATTCCTATTGGTTCAGGAGATATTCAACTGTGTCACTGGTCTAGGGACACCCTGTATATATATGGAAGGGAAGTCGTTGCTGACCAGTAGGAATAAAACCAGTGTATATTCTGGGTAGCAGCAGTGTAAAAGGAATACTCTTCAAAATTTATTCAAGCTTTCGGAAATGTTTATTTCCATCATCAGGAATGCTACAATGATTGAGGAGTGTAAATACATTGGGAAACACTATGGAAATGCCTTGTACTTACATCTTTGGTGGGGTTGGTTACAACGTTGTTAAAACTAAAAATTGTAAAATTTATGATGACATACTGTGCAAAATTGCTTACGAGGAGGGGGTGCAGTAAAAAAGGTTCCGCTTTTGGGTTTATTTGTTATATGTCGAAAACGGTTCGTCGTAGAAGAAAATTCCTGGTATGGAATGAGAGCTGATAAAATTCTTCACAGCTGTCTTTCTATATACTTTTTTCGAATCTCTAACCGTTTTGGAGGTGCACACTCCGTAATGTTGAAATTTTTCAATAAAACATTTTTATCTGACATTTTTCATCACACGTCCCTTCATATTATCTGAACGATTTGTTTCAGAAAGAATTTTTTTCAAAAAAGTAATTGAAATTTTCTTCAAGAATATATGTACTGGGTTATGTGGACCTCGCACCTCGATGTTCTTTCGATTGCTCGAACTCCTACCACCCGAGACATCGTGTTGTTGAAATCCAGACGAGGAAAAAAAATTACCAAACAAGAGATGCAGTAGCATGGACATGAGCATATTCTGTTCTAACATTTATTGACCGGCTGCAACGCAACATCTGCAAAGTTCAGGAGGAGTAAGGTGTAATTATCAAAATTGTACACCAAATCTTTAATCATTAAGGAAGCTTCAGAAATCGTCAACTATCTCTTATCCACTCACAGCGAGGTTGAAGAGACTGGATATGCTTTCTGCTTTCTGACATCAGTTTCCACCAACAAACTGACGTAGGAGACACCCTGGCTCCAATCACAACAGAGATCCACCAGTGTCAGAGGACCTACAGGAAACGATATTTTGCCTCTGCACCAAGGATTTTGGTGTTGGCGGCGAATGTGGATGCCAAGAAGCAATGGTGAACCGTTTTGCAGCGTGTCTCTACTCCCAAGGGAAATGCCTCAACGGCGCGCCGTTCCTTCAGCAAGAGCTATTCAACACTGAGGATGATGCAATGAACCAAGAACCCTAGGATTCTCACGGCTTAAGAGGAAGAAGACGTGAATCCAGAGAGAGTGGAGTATTTGAAATTATCAAGTTATTTAGAGTGACTGTGAATTTTGTCATTATCTTTATAATATCAGTTTTCTATTTCTCGAGTAAGATTATTTTCGTCTACTGCATGAAATAACCTGTTTCCAAGTGTGACAACACATTAGATTTAGATTAGATTTTTAATGGGGCCTTCGGGCTATCTGCCTCCACACCGCGACCTTTTCAGATCTATTGTGACTGCCCTCAAAATCGATTAGAGTTCTTCGGCTAGCCCCGCCTTCTCTATGAGACTCCATAGGCTAGCTTTCAGATCCCCTGTGTATCTTTGGGCTTCTGGTTTTTCCTCACCCAGCGTACGGAACCTTAGTCTTGACAAGCCCTCACAGTGGCAAAGTATGTGTACTGCTGTTTCCTCCTCTTCCTCACAGAACCTGCAGAACAGTTCTTCAGTCAGACCTATCGTACTCATGTGTTTGTTGAGCCTACAATGCCTGGCTCATGTGAATGTTGGCGATGGTTTTTTAATAAACTCTTTTGCCTGTCTCATTCCTGCGAGTTGTTCCACCATTCTTGAGATTTGGTTTGCATCCATGATTTGATACTAGTCTTTTGTATAGCTTTCGCAGTACCACAGAAGGGTTCTGGGCCATTCAGAGTAATGGCAACACATTAGTATATACACAATTTTTGATATGACGAACCGTTTCCGACATATAAGCGATAAACCCAAAAGCGGAACCTTTTCACTGCCCCCCTCCCTCCTTCGGCTCACCTCCTAGACGTCAGGACTTTCAGTATGTTGACTCTCTAAACTCCTCGAACGAGTTTCTAAAGAAATCGCTAGAGTCCCTGCTCACGCACACTACAAACCCTTCATTGTGTGGACTTTGTGGGGTATTAGGTCTTCACTAATTATTGATAAATTATTATGTGTTTCCTCTCACATGATATATTTGTGCTGTTCACGACAAATTACGTAAATACAAGTTTGCAGGGTAGGAGAGTGCAAAAAATTTATGAATATTGGGTGTGGCATATCAACTACATTCTTAGGTGAAGATATCGAATTAAGACTAGATCAGGGGTGCTCAAACGATCGATTGGGTTGGTTGTTCGCAAGTGCATAAGAAATATAACTCGTAGATGAGATATCTACCGTTTGTTAATTGACCAAAAACGTATGAGCTGTCGATCCACAAACTCGTGTGCATTACAACTTGGGTTATCACTCAGTATTTATATAGAACGACTTTCTGCTGAATAGGTTACTTAGACTCTTCATACTATAAACAAATTCACCACGCGAACCTGGTAACTTGTTTTGAAAAATTGCTCATTTGGTGTAGTTTTTGACATGATAGTACATTCACTATCTTTCACTTGAGGAAAAAAGATATTTGGCACTCGAAATACTGATCAAAGGATTCGATTTTCACAAAATTCATAAAAGTGACAAAATATCTCCAAAACTATCAATATTTCACTGATACATTGTGATATTCTGGTCAGTCATGAGCTGGACTATCAGACCTTCAAAGGATGACGTTGAATTTTGGGACACCCTGTATGTTAAACTTATATTTTCATTGAATACTTGTGAAATAAATAATCATACAGTCGGAAAATTAGGAACACAATAGCTGTCGTGATAAACTGATGTCATATGATGCTCAAAACTATCTAAACACACTCCAGAAAAAATAGTTGATAAGACATATATCCTACTTACAGTTGAATCTTGATTGGTTTTATGTTCTGAATCCTTCCTTTTCATTTTCTTGCCATTACCAAACTGTTCACTAGAATAAATATGTTTTGGAAAAAAACTTCTTAATTTACATTTCTTCCCAAGTTCCGTTTCCAAATAGGGTACAGGAAATACTATATATGGTGATATGGATAAGATTATATCATCTAAATGCTTTCGAAAACTATTAGAAAATGGTAATTCAGCAACTGTAAATACTTCATTATTGATATTATCATTTGTTCTGCCTGAATCATTGTGATAGGAATGTAAAGGATCCGTAAAATCCTCAACACTTTCAGCTGTGATTTTTCTGTCTTCACGATTTTGATCGTTGTTTGATTTTTTCAACACTGTCTTCTCAATCTTATCATTCACTTGGACTGTCTCTGAATGATTATCACCGAATGATACTTTAGGTTGTGGAAAATCTGGAGAATTCTCCCTGCTATCTTCAAAAAATTCGCATTTTGTATTTGGTGGCATGGCAGAAACATCCATCAAAAAAGATTTCTCGAGCCTCCAGTTGTACGCTGTGAATAATAATAATGAAGACACTTTTTTCAATTGCATCAATTCGATTCTAGATGCACCTCTCAGAAGTACTGTGCATCCTAGATTAGATACGGGAAGCCCTTCGAAAAACATAAGAGTTTTTGATCCACCTGGAAAGATTCGAAACACATAATCAAGAATGAGCATGTGTGTTTTGCGAATATTTTACTCACTGAGTAGTAAAGATATTCACCTCTTTCAATATTGAATCTCTTCAAGTAAAATCGTTTACAAAATCCTAACTTTGGCCTCCCAATATGAGCATCTACAGATGAAACTAAGTCAGCCTGCGTGCATCTAGATAATCGTTCCAATACGGTCTGTTTCACATTCTGGACAAGAGTAATATTATGTTCTCTCAACATGTCCTGAGCGAGACGAGAAACATTTTTTTGTACAATTACTACATCCGGTTGAAGGGCCACTATTCTTGCAGCAACATGTCTCAAATATTCATGTTCCTAAAGCACATAAATAAAGTGTTATTTCATAAGAATGTATAATTTATAATTTTCTTTGCATCCTTATTATAGTGTTTCCGGCTTCATAGACTAGGGTCGATAATTTATAGAACCGAAAAAATTATAGTAGAATGACACCCATCGAAAAAAAAAGAGATTATAACAAAAATGGAATAAAAAATTGATTACGGTCGATCTGTGGTAGGGAAGTGGGAGAGGGTGAGCTTTTAAGGGTGAAAAACGGTTAATCTCGATTTCTGGCAAAACTACAATTCCTATGGAAAAAAGTTAGATAGAAAAGTTGTAGGTAATAAAAATACTCCAAGTTTTTGGATATATATTTTTCTTTTACAAAAAAAAATCTCACGAAATTTGGTGAAAACTAACCTCTTCATGTTTCAAATACTCTGTGATTTTTTTGATTTGAAATATTCATTTTTTCACTTTACTTTTACTTAATATGGAAAAGCACACTGATTTTAAATCGAAATTTCTCGCGTCAAAATATCTGCTCTTTCAATAAAGTCAGTGGGCTTTTTGTTCATTGGAATCTCTACTTTCTGATGGTGTGGAAGATATTGTACTAAGGCATTTGTTACTAAGGTGAGAGTTCTCAGGAAATGCAAAGAAACGAAACTCCAATCCGATTTTTTTAAAACCATTCTGTACAATTTTGAGCTATTCATTAAAATTAACACTACATTTCAATTCTCATTTCAATACTGAACATATTGGTAAGTTATAGTTTCTTATCATAATACACCATATTATTTATCCGATTTGAGAGAGAATGTCAATTATCAATTTCAGAGGATTTTTATTTTTCATGCTCTCCTTTTGTATGTCCAACAGATATAATTCAATGTTAGACGTGTTGAATATTCAGAATGATATTATGTGCATATACATATTTTTATCTGAAGGGGAATGAGAATTCTCAACCTTATAAGAAATTGTTTTCAAACAAATTCGTATCGTGTGTAGGGCAGGAAGAAAATCTTGCAGTCAACTGCACCAAAACTATACTTTATTTGACATTGGAATTGGGACATGTTTCGAAGCTTCAAAGCTTATAATAATCATAATCAGCAAACATTATTTGTTACAGAAAGTACTACAATAAGAAAGACAAAAAGCTATGTCAGACAAGAATTCAGATAATGAAAGATAAATAATCCTTACCTGTTCTGGGAAAAAATATTTCACATGATGAATGACCAAAAATGTGATATACATATCAAAAATTGTTTTGATAAAAATGAAGGGTCCGCAATTGAATGTGGATCACCTTTGTCAAATTATTAATACTCACATAATTAAGGACCTAATTCAAAAATTTTTTCTGAAGGAAAAAAGTTTACAACATTGCTCGGCTCGGACAGTCGGACAGTGGATGGGAAAAATGAGGCAAATGGTGTCAAACATCAAAAAAGGAATATCCTTGACATGAATTGATATATATCAACAGAAAAGAACTACTTTTCTGGCACACGATAAGAATTTGAAAACAAAATCTTCTGCAATTAGGAATTTGCATTCTGTTTTGTCAAAGCTAGGGTGTTAACATTTTTTAACGCGCACAGGCGCAGTAGGAGCGATAGATGTAGCTCTCAGGTAGCAAAGATATGCAAGCTCTCTTGGTTCCCAGCTCTTGAGTGAGTGAGATCGTCCTCACCAAATAAAATGTTAGTTGAGCCCAAACTGTGATAGTATTGATAGTAACGAATAAACGTGATTTGTAAAAAGGTAACGGCGTTTCACTGAATAGGGCCATTCGTTACACATTCTTCTTCAGATAAAAATATGTATATGCACATAAAATCATTTCGAATATTCAACGGAAAACAACTACTTTCCTGGCTATTTGCCACGTCGAACATTGAATTATATCTGTTGAACATCCAAAAGGATGAATAATATGATGTATTATGATATAAAAATATAACTTCCAAATATGTTCAGTATTGACATGAAAATTGATATGCATAGGAGAAGTATACTTGTATAAAATCGTATCTTGATGACCTTGAAACTTCCGAAAAAATCATTCGTATATGGGAATTATATCTCTCACAATCAGGTTAAATGACTTCAATCGAATAAACTCATTTCGGATTTCAAACCCTGATGTCCAGTTATTCTTTCAGCCATTTCTCATAATATAAACAATTTTCATCTCTCTATAATATAACTAAAAATAAAACGAACTGACATCTGAGAATTATTATTTGTTCGACATTCAATCCCTATCATCTGGTAGTTTTTGTTTTTGGATACATGAAAAATTGAAATTCATCATACAGGACGTGGCAATTTATCTGAGAATATGTCTTTCTAATACGTTCACCCAATCAAGGAGTTCAAACTTAAGCGATAAAAACTTTTTAATTTTAATATTTTTATAGACTTTTAATCGCAGATTCGTGATTAGGTTCTTCCAATTCTTTCAGTCAAATTATGAGTGGTCCATTTAGTGTATTGAGAACTGTATATGTATTTATACTTAAATTATAACGAAACATTCTGATACGATTATTATATAACTGAGAACAAATATCATCACAAGCACAAAATGCGGATATTGTGAGGCAGCATTCTTGCACTGACAGCTCATGACGGGAGCACTGGCATTGCGAGAAATATTCTGACAATTCATTATTTTCAGAGATTCACCATGCAACTTTTGTGTTGCTAATGTACGCCATATTTGTTTTTTATAACATGGAATAGGGCTTGAAATTCCCTTCACAGCCATGTACAACATGTTTACATTTCCACAGGAAGCGCCAAAAATCAATGAAATTTTTTTTTTCAAATCTGTGAATAAAAGTTTTCGCTAAATAATCAAGAAACGTTTACCTAAAATAAACCTGCTTCAAATTATTTCCACGTTTCTAGAATGAATAATATGTATAAAATTCAATTTTTGAGAATAGGTGAGTTTATTATTAACCTATGAATTATTAAGAACGAATCAATCAATATTGAGAAATATTGACTCATGTCAAGACCAAGTCTAACAGTTTTTTTGTGAATTCTTCTCATTTTTGCATAAAAATAGCGTTATTCAAGACTATAAAGAAGTATTGATACTGTAGTCATCACGACTGATATTCTAATTGCTGTATCCAATGGTACACAAAATAATTATGACGCCCATAAAAAAAAACAAAAGTTGCATGGTAAATCTCTGACAATAATGCAGATAGAATATTTATGATTACTAGCCCACACAAAATTTCAAAATTTATTCCTCCAATAGTAACCATAAGAAAATAATAAAATAAATAGATATTAGTCATTTCCATTTTTTTTTCCAGAATATTTCAGGAGCAGCTGACATATTTCCAAATTGAAAAACGTCGTATTGAAAAGATTCAAATTAGGCAACTTCTATCAAAACTACGCAACACGAATTTTGTCGCACCCCAAAATGTTGCCTCTGTTATAATGTGACTAACTTTTTTCTGTTTTGAATAATTTGAATTTGGTTGACACGGTTCGCTATCCCAGTCCTTCAACTATAATTTCGAACTTCTTTGAAACATAAGGGTCTTCGCATAAAATCCCTACATGGTGGTTCCAGACACTGTACATAATTTACGAATATTCAAAAGGATCCCAAATGAAGAAATAGTTATTTATTATACAAGGGAAAAAAGTAGTAGATTTTAGCTCCAGGTTGTGTTGTCTCCCGACGCGTAGCGGAGGGAGACAAAAAACCGTGAGCTAAAATCTAATATTTTTCCCGTGTATAATACACTATTTTTTTCTGTGACAGAAGGAAGGACGAATCAATATTGAGAAGATATTACATTATTTCGAAATGTGAAAATTATCGACGTGAAATTTCAAGTCTTTAACAGTAGGGACACCTGCGTTTTATAGACATCTTTATCATTCTTTTGAAGTAATCAAATATCTGATGTCACTTTTGTCAGTTCAATTCTGTGATTTGATTTTAAGAAATTGCGAATTCAGTAGTTGTTTAGTAATATACGAAACCGCGAAGTCGAATGGAAGATAAAAGGACTTGCAGTTCTTTCTCGGAGACGGTATCATTGACTAATTTTTCGGAACTATAGCACAACAAAAGCCATTAACAGAGTATATATATGATATATATCCGGGAAAGAAGTACTCACTTTTTTCCCACGGGAAAAAAGTAATTTATGAAAATTGACATTTTATAACCTGCCAACAGAGATGAAATGCCAAACTTTTTTCCCGTCACAGAAAAAAAATTGTTTTTTCAACTTTGAAAACAGAGACATGATGATGATCTCATTACCTTGAGATATTTCACGAATTGTCTTCCTATATATCTGATTTACATAGTGATTTCAAAAAATCAACTTTTTGTTTTCGCAGTCATAACTTTTTTCCACGTCAACAGATTTTTTAAATCTCAGGCTCATTTTGGAGATGAAATTTCAGATGAAGAAATCTGAAGAACAGAATTGACTCAAGATGGATATAAAATATCAAGTTTTCTCAGTAAGCCAAATCTGAAACACCCTCCGAATCTCGGTTGGGAGGGAAATTAAATGAAAATCAACTTGTTCTCGGAAGGACAATTCATTCTGGATGCGTCCAGATTTTCCTTGCTCTCAGTAGTTAGGAATTGTGAGTGAGAAAACCCAATTGAAATATGTTTTTGCAAAAAAATCAGACCATTGTTCGCCTGTAATTCATGGCTTGTAACCAACGTCAGGTTTGACGTCATTTTCAAATCGTATACAGAAATTGCTAGTTTCCATGCCGCATTTAACGCCCGACCAGCTGGAACTGATTCCATAAATGAAGGAACAAGGATTATCTTTCCTCCATTTTGCTAATCCACGATATTGGTTTACATACAAGGAGATGAGCAGCCTATCCCTTAGGTAAACCTGTACATCGAGCAGCAAGGCGATTGTAGGGGCAAAGACATCAAACTGTGGTATTCCATGGAATAGGTGTATGTTAACGAATGATAGTGAATTCAACTTGTGTCGAAA